ATTAACGCTAGTTTCAAGTCCTGGCTAGACACACATTTTTTTTACTGTAAGTTGTTAACTTTGTATTTCAATAGTTTGAAAATCACACTGTGGATTTCTGTGGTTGTCAAAGTATAATAACTTTGTTATTAATAAATTGGGAAATTTGTCCGTGTAAATATAAACTCGTATATTTATAACCTAGTTAACAAATGGAAATTTCTGTAACATCTCGTCCGATAAAGGCTTAGATAATAATGTAGCTTAAAAACTTCCAAATATAACATTATTTTCTTCTTGTTCATTTTTAACATCTAATAAGGCATTATGATTTTTAAGAAATTTTGTATTGTTTGTTTTAGAGCAAAGCCACACCGGGCTTTCTACTGTGTCTACCGCGGGAAATCGAACCCCAGATGTTAGCGTTGAAAATCCACAAGCTTATCGCTGTCCCACCAGAGGACAAATTTAGTATTAATTAGCAAATCAATTTACGTTAGGACTTTTCAATGAAATAAATAGTAACATTTGTCTTTTTTTATCATTCATAATTGCACCACAAGACTGACGATGACATATTGTGTATTTATCTAGAAATCTATGATACTTAGAGTGGTCGAAAGCACCGAGTTTCAACCTGTAGCACCAGGTCATGCTGGGGGTGGTACACGGAATTATAGTTAGTATAATATATTTTTGTATTATTGTTACGTACTACCACAACCGCCCCCAGTGGCACAGCGGTATGTCTGCGGACTTACAACGCTAGAATCCGGGTTTCGATACCCGTTGTGGGCAGAGCACAGAGAGCCCATTGTGTAGCTTTGTGCTTAATTACAAACAAACTACCACAACTTAATAAATGTAGGTTTAGGTTTGTCATGTGGGAGTAAGTGGTTTACAAATTAGTAATATTCATCTGAACAGTTTTGTAATTTAAGTCGCTAAAAAAGTTAAACCTCTGGGCTTTAAAAAATAATAATAAACATTCTTAAGAAGTTTTTGTTTATAAAGATGAAAATGTATTTTGTTTTGTTTTCTTCAGAGTAGAAAGTTGTCTCCCACATCCCGATGGCTTGGAAGTAAGTGTGAAAATTGGGGCTCGACACCTATGGTGAGTACAGCACGTATAATACATTATGTAGCTTTGCGCTTAATGACAAAAAAACACAAACATATCTTGTTATTTCGGTAAAAATAATCTTTAAAATTCTTGAAGTTATTTTTGTGAACCACATTACGTATCATGTCTACCCTTATATATGAAGTGATACAATAAATAATATTACCCACTTAAGTATTATTAATGTTGACCGGTGCAGAAACAAAGAAATAACTTTTATTATTATATAAATATTTGTTTTTCATTTATTGTTAAGCGCAAAGCATAGCATAAAATGGGTTATCTATGCTCTGCCTACCGTTATAACCCCTCAGACTTACTACTGAAACACCATATATAGGGTTAATGGGTTATAAAATTTGTTGTTTTCTTGGTGCCAAACTTCTCTGTTTTATATTTTTACATACCTATCTGACAGACCTCCATAGACTGGCGTAGCAAGTACACTTCCAACCCCAGTAAGGGTGAAGACGAGGCTAGGCATGGGATCCTTGTCACACACCAGGTCCCACTGAAAAAAATAACGACACCTAAATGAAGATTATTTATATATATATACATTGTTAGTATTCGTCACTAAATTTGATTGTTTCTAGCCATCTGGTGGCGGAACCTAGAATTATTACTAAGACAGGTAGATTCAGATATTGCCTCGGATGTTCGAAAGTATGAAATTGTAATTTTATACCTGAGAAAATTATTGTATTCTACTTCTTGGTTTAAAACTACCTGTATTTATCGCTGTTTCTTATTAAGCACAAAGGGCTATCTGTGCTCTGCCCACCTTTAAATTAAATAGCTTGCACTGCGCATTTTAATATGTGTTTATTCGTATACGAAATATTATAAATTGTATTTATTTTCGAACAAATTTGCCCCCTAGTGGCACAGTGGTACGTCTGCTGACTTATACTGCTAGAAACCGGGTTTCGATACCCGTGGTGGGAAGAGCACAGATAGCCCTTTTACTTGTTTATAATAAGCCTATCCAAATAATTAAATACGATGTTTACGAAGAATTTATTATTTTATGTAAATATCATTACGTTCTGGCTATCTTATAAACACGATGAAATTAATATAAATATGTTTTTATATTATACACTTTTCATTAAAAAATCCGTAGTTATTGTTTGTCTATGTTTCAAGAAAACCAAGTCGACCTTCTTCTGGAGATTCCAAAGTAAATCGTGTTTTGTTTGTTTGTTTGTTTGAATTTATGCACAAAGCTACACAATGAGATATCTGTGCTCTGCCCACCACGGGTATCGAAACCCGGATTCTAGCGTTGTAAGTCCGCAGACATACTGGGGGGCTCGTGTATTACTATTCTGAATATTATGATAGTGTAAACATTGACCTACTTCTTAAAGACATCTAAAGTTTGGTTGATACTGGCCCAGCGAAGAGTAGTTAGATAACGGACAGACAGACACAAAGAAGTCTGTAATTGGAGGTTGAAGTACATTTTCAAATTGTGTTAGGTTTGAAGGATTGATTGATCGAAACCCGATTTTTAACGTCATAAATAATATATCATCGGTGTTTGTTTTCGTCGATAAAAAATGTGTGTGGATTAAAGATATTCAACAGAAGGCTCCTTTTATACGACACTTGGACTAAACATAAGGTCGGAGACTCCTATGATTCTGGAGTAGTCATTCTTAATTTAGAACTGCTGGCCAAAAGGAGGGAACACTGGTCAGTACCATCTGACCACTACACGACTATTCTACAATACCCTTAGAGCTAAAAATGTGATGCCTGTTAAGGGGCATATCACGTCTCAAACCTCGGACCTTTCGTTCAAAGATTGAGATGACAAGAAACAGTTAGTTCTGAGTGAAATATTAATATTTTCAGCTTCGTTTGACCCAACAGATCATCTATACAATAAGTTTAGGGAATAACATCAACTTACTTGTTTAGATGCTGTGTTGTCGTAAAGGGTCTGATCATACATCCAGCCGCTCGGACAAGGAATATTCGAAGTAGAGTTATACCTTGATAAAATGGATTTCACTTGTGATCCTTCTAGTAAATCCACGAGTATCTGACTGTAATTAAAATCACGCATTTCACAGTTACTCAGTTCTTCTACTCCATGTTGTTTCTCCACAGGCCTAATCAGAATCTGTTGTTCTTTCACACTAAGATTGGATTTGAGTAGTTCAGAAACGTGACACCAGTGGTCTGGAACGGACATAAAGAACACTATGTTGAGAGAAAACCAGGCCAGAGGAACAACACCAGGGAATAGAAACCAACGAACAAGACTTTTCTGGAAAGCTCCATAGTCTCCAACTTCTGCGAGAATGTTTTCAAACTCAGGTTTTCCCTCTTCCTGTTCCTTCTTCATTTTTCTATATATATTTGTTTCTAACAAATTCTACCTTTAATGCACTCTTTACTGTTTATTTTTTCTTTCAAAAGATTGATTTTCTGTCGTATGGAGAGCAATAAAAAATCACAAACAGACGATTCTTATGTGAACCAAAATAATAGAAAGTTTAGCCTAACAAAGTTCTAAGATCGTGATTATAACAATTCCACTAAAGTTTAAATAAGCAGCCCAACCGATGGTTTACAAATACGGAGCTACATTACGTTTTCTACATTAGTGTTATCAATAAGTGTTTCACACAAACAGGGGCCGTACTTACAAAACAAAAATATTCGCTGCGTCACAGATAAGCTATATTGTTTGTCATCAGCTGCGGGTCAAGGTGTTTCGATAACAGACGGTTACGAGTATAACTTGAAATATTGGTTTTATGAACAACTAGAACAGTACAACAAATAAAAACGTCTTTTCAAGTGATGGTCGTTATACCTACGTGCAAATAATAATTTTCTTTATTAATTCAGTATATAAAGATCGGGATAATGATTTCAATGGAAAAACCCGGAACACTCAGACAAAAAGCTCTGGTCATTTACCTTAAAACAGGACTTCGAATATTTCACTAACCCTTGTCTTTGATCTTAAAACCGGACTTCGAATATCTCACTAACCCTTGTCTTTGATCTTAAAACAGGACTTCGAATATTTCACTAACCCTTGTCTTTGATCTTAAAACAGGACTCCGAATATTTCACTAACCCTTGTCTTTGATCTTAAAACAGGACTCCGAATATTTCACTAACCCTTGTCTTTGATCTTAAAACAGGACTTCGAATATTTCACTAACCCTTGTCTTTGATCTTAAAACAGGATTTCGAATATCACAGTAGTAGTTCAACAGATTAGGAGATTGTTTAGATGCTTGCGTCACAATTACACCCCAGTAACAGTAAATTTCATATTTGTAGTGTATAATCAACATGTGATATGTAAAGTGTCACCCCCCTCACCCATCAAATAACCAGACAGTCAACAGACACAGCGTTTAAATCATCTGTACTTGTCTTCCAAGACGCCTATTTATCTGAGTTTAACTTTTGTAAAAATCATCAGATGTTTTATCAGATGGACAAACAGTTACATTTATCTATATTTCGTTTTGATATATAAGGTCAAAGTTCAGTTGTTTTTGTTCTTATAACACCGCCCTCCTAGGACGACTATCATTTTCTCGTTCAAGTATTATATGTGAACGGACTGATTGTATAAACATAGTTACTTCCTATGTAAATACAGCTGTCCCTAAACCTAATAGTAGTTCCTTCAACGCCCTCTGGTGAAAGAGTTAATTTGCTAATACACCTATTCCCTGATGAATACTCCTGTATAAGTGAGAATGCCGACAAAACTTTAAAAAAAGTGAAATTTCGAAACAACGATGTAAAATCCAGAATTCAGATTTTTATAATAACGTTCTCTAAGTCACTTTTTTTGTTTTAATACATTTTTAAGTAGGTATCCAAATTAAAACATAAAATTGAATGAGAAATCAGGTCATTTTGTCTTTCAAGATGCGCTTGAAAAACTTTTCAGTTTCAATTACGGTTTAAATAACGTGAACAAATAATAGGCTTAACAAGAGTGTGGAGTTTAAATAAATTAAATAGGATGTATTTTTGGAAAGGTATGTTTTACTATTAGGTTTTTGGTCTTCGAATTTCATCACTGATAAATAATATCAAAATAATTGGAACAAGCTTAATAAAATTGATACTTGAGGTACCAAATAAATTCAACAGAAAATTCAAATCCTGTCACTGATCATGCTCGTCCTTTCAGCCGTGGGAGCGTTATAATGTGCCGATCAATCCCATTTTTCCTTGGTAGCCCAAGAGTTTGCAATGGGTAGTGTTGATAAGCTATCATTTCCCTCTTGTGTATCACTTCAAAATTATGGAGGGCTGGCGCAGATAGCCCTCGAGTAGCTTTGCTTGAAATTCAAGACACAAACAAACAATCCATCAGAAAACTGTTTTAACATGGGGGTAAACTGTGATACATCACAACTGATGATAATATATTTTTTATAATCCAGACTGTTTTAACATGGGGGAAAACTGTGATACATCACAACTGAAGATAATATATTTTTTATAATCCAGACTGTTTTAACATGGGGGAAAACTGTGATACATCACAACTGATGATAATATATTTTTTATAATCCAGACAGCCGTTCTACATCTGTACGTATGAGTAAAAATAAATGTTATTTAGTCTACTGTTCACTCTTTTACGTAGATTATGTTATCACGATGGCAGTGATAGTAAAATACTCCCGAAATCAGTATATATTTCACTGTACTGTTGACCTTCTAAAGTAAACATGTAAGCGTTTGCAGCGCCATCAAGTGGGAACGTTAATAATAAATAAATAATAATCTGTGTAAGATTCTCAGAAAATTAATTTTTAGCTAAGACAAATGTTATTCACTATTTGGTTCTTATGTATATATTTGCCAACGTAACAAATATATTTTTTTTAAATATCTTTTTGTTTTTAGTGTCAACGAGATTGATACGTAAAAGCTATCTATCCCATCAAAAGTTAAACACCCTAGCTGTGGCCACAGCATTGATAACTCATTGTGCTTTAAAAACATAAGCTAACTAAAGAAATTTCCCTTTATGTTTGTAGTGAACATCATTTTCGTCAGCTTAGTAACCGTTCTTTTAAAAAATACATAAACCTGACGTTAAAAATTACTGTGGTCACCGCCATTGTCGAACCCCGAATTCTAGTGTTATAAACCCCGACGCTTACCGTTGAGCCATCGGAGAGGGAGAGCAATTTTTTCGAGACTCTTCATCTTTCCGTTTCACATGGCCTCCTGAAGTAAACACCTAGGGGGCGCTGATAAATTCTTACGGTTAATTTCTATAGTGCTTATTCGTGTATAAAATATATTTTAATATTAGTAATAAATAAACGTATAACACCAAATTTGTTATATTTCTTTAATTGGACACCCAACGTTCGCTTTACAGCTTTTTTTTTTACTCTGCAATACAAACCTTAACTCGTTAAACGCTCCTGAAGAAGCTGTAAAGTTGAGTGTCCAATTAAAGATAAATAAAATTGACGTCATAAAGTTTTTCAACTATTTCATTGGTTGTATTTTAATCATCAGTATAGTACTTTAACAGTTTATTGGACAATTTGAAAGTTTTAATTAACACTTTATTTAACGTTTTATCGTCTTGAAATCTTTACCTGTTCTACAGTAATTCCTCTACGCTGAATCCGAAAATGATATCCATTTTTCTCCATCACGTACAGATGTTTTCACAAAACGTCACATGTACTTTTTACATAAGTGAATGATTTTCAATG